CAATCGACCTAACACCCCCACCCCCACCCCCACCCCCACCCCCACACCCCCGCATGGCCGCGTGCATGCCTCCGTCATTCGTTCCTGCGCGCTAACAAGGCCAGCATCGAAAACGCCAATCCACGTTCCGCGACTGTGCCACTTCACACTAACACCCCCCCCCCCCCCACGAGATCACAAGCCAAACAGGGGGCCACGTGTTGGGTTTTATTTACACCGTTCCAGATAGTTAAAGAAGCAGAGTTTACGGCTAGCTAAAGGGAGCTGTGAAGCAGGGAGATGGCGGGGGCGGTGGAGAAGGGAGGGAGGGGGGAGAGGGGTGGGGGGAGAGGGAAGGAAGAGAGAGAGGAAGAGGAAAGGGGTGAGGAAAGGAAGAGGGTGAGGAAAGGAAGAGGGAGAGGAAGAGGAAAGGGGTGAAGAAAGGAAGAGGGAGAGGAAGAGGAAAGGGGTGAGGAAAGGAAGAGGGAGAGGATGAGGAAAGGGGTGAGGAAAGGAAGAGGGAGAGGAAGAGGGAGAGGGAAAGGAAGAAGGAGAGAGAAAAAGGAGAGAGAGGAGAGGGAGAGGAACAGGGAGGAGGAGGAAAAGGGAGAGGAAGAGGGCGAGGGAAAGGAAGAAGAGATAAAAAGGAGAGAGAGGAGAGGGAGAGGAACAGGGAGAAGGAGGAAAAGAAGAGAAAGAGATGGAAGAAGAGAGAAAAAGGAGAAGAGATAAAGAGAGAGGGGAAGAATAGAGTACAGAAAACAAAAAGAAAGGGGGGGGGGGACGATTATTACAGTGCTTACGACCTGTTTTTCTTCGGTTCTATGGGACGACAAGAATAATGAGAGAAGAGAAGAAGAAAAAACAAGTGACGATGAGAAGGTAAGCAAGGAGAAGAAGACTGATAACGGGAAAAAAAGAAGACGAGAGAGAGAGAGAGAGAGAAAAAAAAAAAAGAGAGACGGAGAAAGGAACGCAAGAAGGAAAACATGAAGAATGATTTCATGGTAATGAGTTCTCCCAGTCATGGAAAATTTCCCCCTCCTCCCCCTCCCCCCCTCCCCCTCCCCCGCCCCTCCTCCGTCTGAAGCGAGCTTTGAAAGTACATTTATTCGCACTAAGACGAAGATGAATTTAATGATGTGAATGACGAGGTCCGCGTGGGGGGGAGGGGGGAGGGGGGGAGAGGAGAAGGAGAAGGAGGGGGGAAAGAGGAGAAGGAGGAGAGGGGAGGAGGGAAGGGGGAAGAGCGGGGAAGGAAGAAGGGATAGGGGAGGGTGTGTGTGTGTGTGATGGTATGGGGAAGTTCTATGGGGGGAGGGGAGGATTATGGGGATAGATTGTCTGTGTGAGGATGTAAGGGATAGCTTTGATAGGGAGATAGAGGAAGGTTGTGTGTAAGATATGGGGAGATTCTATGGGGGGGGGGGGATGGGGAGGTTGTGTGTGAGATATGGGGAGATTCTATGGGGGGAGGGGGGGGTAAATGGGGAGGTTGTGTGAAGTTATGGGGAAGTTTTATAAGGGTGATATAGGGTGATATTTTGGGGAAATGGGTGAGGTTGTGTGAGATATAGGGAAGTTTTACAAGGAGGATATAGGGTGATTCTATGGGATATGGGGGAGGTTGAGTGAAGATATGGAGTGGACTGTATGATGGGGGGGGAGGGGGAGGAGGCTGCGTGAAGTATGGGAGGATTGTATGGTACTGTACTTGATTGTAGGGGACGGGAAGCGCACACGACGGAGGTCTTCGGGAGCCTGGAGGGGGGAGGGGAGGGGGAGGGGGGAGAAAGAGGGGTGACGTAAGGGGTGGAAGGAGGGAGGAGGGGGAGAAAGAGAGGGGAGAAGAGGGAGAATGAGGAACACGGAGAAGGAAAAGGCAGATGGTTAGATGGCTGGAAGAGGAAGAGGGAGACAGAGAGAAAGTGGCTTGACTATTTTAAAAAAATAGACAAAAGAAGGAAACGGATTGAAATCAAAAAGATAAAAGAAAGAAAAGAAGAAGAAGAAGAAGAAGAAGAGAGAAGAAGAAGAAAGAGAAAAATCCAAAAACACAAAACCAAAAAGATGGCCGAACGGGAAAAGATTGAAAACCACCGACATCACGATGACTAGCAGACGAAAAGACGAGAAGAGAAGAGAAGGAGGAAGAAGGACGGAAGGAGGAGGAGGAGGAGGAGGGAAAGGGGGCCGAGCGGATGAGAGAGAGAGAGAGAGAAAGAGAAAGAGTGAGAGAGAGAGACAGACAGACAGACAGAGAAAGAGAGAGAGAAAGAGAGAGAGAGAGAGAGAGAGAGAGAGAGAGAGAGAAAGAGAGAGAGAGAGAGAGAGAGAGAGAGAGAGAGAGAGAGAGAGAGAGAGAGAGAGAGAGAGAGAGAGAGAGAGAGAGAGACAGAGAGAGAGAGAGAGAGAGAGAACCCACGCCGGCGGATGAGAGAACTGGCGTATCTGATGGAGCGCCAGGAGATGGATGTCGAGATGAAAGACAGACAAGATGGTGTCGTTTGAGAATCGCCAAGTCGCCCGCCGTCACGGTTTTCTCAAGGAAGAAGAAGCAGGAGAGAGGAGAGAGGAGAGAGAGGAGAGAGAGAGAGAGGAGAGAGAGAGAGAGGAGAGAGAGAGAGAGGAGAAAGGAGAGAGGAGAGAGGAGAGAGGGAGACAGGAGAGAGGGGAGTGGGGAGAGGGGAGAGGGGAGAGAGGAGAGAGGAGAGAGGAGAGAGGAGAGAGGAGACAGGAGAGAGGAGAGAGGAGAGTGGAAAGGAGAGAGAGAGGGCGGAGATAAGGAGAGAGAGGGAGGGAGGGGCAGTGGGAGGGAAGAATTGAGGGAAAAGAAGAAGAAGAAGAAGAAGAAGAAGAAGAAGAAGAAGAAGAAGAAGAAGGAGAGAGAGAGAGAGAGAGAGAGAGAGAGAGAGAGAGAGAGAGAGAGAGAGAGAGAGAGAGAGAGAGAGAGAGAGAGAGAGAAAAGTCAAGAGAGAGAAAAGAAAGAAAGACATCGAACTAACAAAGATCAAAAGAAAGAAAAACAGAGAAAAAAAAAGAAACAGAAGAAGAGAAAAGACCAAGACTAAGATGGAACGACGGGAGAACAGTAACGCACGGACTGGCTTCCCCAATATCGCCATTTTGTACAAGACACTCGCCGACATCTTGAGACAAAGCGGGAGAGGAAAAAACGTCTTGTCGCAGAACAGAGGAAGTGGGGGGGGGGGGGAGAAGAAGAGGAAGAACAAGCCAAAGAAACACAAGAAAAAAAGGAAATGAGAAGACAAGAGAAGAGAGAAAATTCGAGGATAATACGATTATATTTGTATTCTTTTTATTTATCTTTCTTTCCTCTCTCTCTCTCTCTCTATTGCTCTCTTTCTCTGTACTTCCTCCCCCTCCTTCTCCTCATCTTCCTTTTCCTCTCCCTCTCCCTCCATCTTCTCTCTCTCTCTCCCTCTCTTTCTCTCTCTCACTCTCTCTCTCTCTCTCTCTCTCTCTCTCTCTCTCTCTCTCTCTCTCTCTCTCTCTCTCTCTCTCTCTCTCTCTCTCTCCTCTCTCTCTCTCTCTCTCTCTCTCTCTCTCTCTCTCTCTCTCTCTCTCTCTCTCTCTCCTCTCTCTCTCTCTCTCTCTCTCTCTCTCCCCCTCCTCTCTCTCTCTCTCTCTCTCTCTCTCTCTCTCTCTCTCTCTCTCTCTCTCTCTCTCTCTCTCTCTCTCTCTCTCTCTCTCTCTCCAAAAGTAACGCGAAAGAGAAGAGCTCAGATCTGTTCCCGGGTCTCGTGGTTCGCCGGCGCCAGTAGCTGTCTCGGTCAACAACCCACGTGTTACTCTCACGTAAGGGGGGGGGGGGGGGAGGGGAGAAGTAGTAGGTATGGGGGGGAGGTAGGAGGGAGAATGGGAGTAGGGGAGGGGGAGGGGGTGGGGTGTGAGGTGAGGGGCCTGGGAATTATATAGATTATCTCTCTCTCTCTCTCTCTCCTCTCTCTCTCTCTCTCTCTCTCTCTCTCTCTCTCTCTCTCTCTCTCTCTCTCTTTTTTTTTTGATTTTTACACTTTTTTTCCCATGGGAGGCTGAGTCGTTTTATATATATATATATATATGTATAGCGGAGGGGGGAGGAGGGGGGTGGGGGATTGTTGGCACTGGGTTCGACTCTTGTGTTTTTGGCGAGAGAGTGTTGGTAGGGAGGGAGAAGGGGGGAGGGGGAAAGGGGGCAGTAGTTCTATTATATTAATTTCCTTTATGTCTTCTTTCTAAATAAAAAAAAAGATTGTTTACATAGTCTTTTTTTTCCTTTCGTATTTCTTTCCCCTTTTTCTTCTCACTCTTATTATTCTTTCTATCTCTTTCTCTTTTTTTTTCTTGGGAGGCGAGATCTGTTTGCTCATCGGATTGTTCATTTGACGGAATAGAACAAAAGGAAGAAAAAAGAATCATTAGCAACGGCCATCCACATTCTCCAAGGAAGCATGAAGGAGCGAGAGAACCAGAGCGAACCGGCGGGTCAGATGTCACGGAGAGGTCAATGGAAACGAGTACTTCCTCGCTTCCGCATTGTGGGCGGTCTCCCTCTCTCTCTCTCTCTCTCATTCTTTATCTCTCTTTATCTCTCTCTCTCTTTCTTTCTCTCTCACTCATTCATTATCTCTCTCTCTCTCGCTCTCTCTCTCATTTTTTATCTCTCTCTTTTTCTCTCTCTTCTCTTTCTTTCTTTCTCTCTCTCTTTTTCTCTCTCTCTCTGCATGTGCTTGTGCCTGTCTCTATTTCTGTCTCTCTCTCTAAAGTCAAAAAGTCTCTCTCTCTCACTCTCCCTCCTTTCTTCCTTCTCTCCCACCCTCTCCCTCCTCACCCCTTCCCTCCCTCCCTCCCTCTCCCTCCTCTCCCTCCCACCCTCCCTCTTCTCTCCCTCCTCACCCCTTCCCTCCTCTCCCTCCCACCCTCCCTCCCTCTCCATTCCTCACCCCTTCCCTCCCTCCCTCTCCCTCCCTCCATCTTCAGCGATCTGTGGCCCCTTTTCCAGCGCCATCTTCTCGCACGGGCTCCTGTCTTCACGCTTTTGAATATATTCTTCGGTCACTGGCGATCCCCGACTACGCTCGATGCAGATGATGGGCAGCTGTCGGAGAGATGTCTGTGTTTAATACCGCTGTCGAGTTTCGCACCCAGGTTCGCTTTTACAGTTGAGGGGGGGTAGGAGGGGGGTTAGGAGGGGTGGGGTGGGGGTGGGGTTGAGAATAGGGGGGTAGGGATGGGGGGTTGAGGGTGGGAGCGAAGGAGAGAGAGAGAGAGAGAGAGACAGGGGTCAATTTTGATGTCTTTTTCTTTTCTTTTTCTTTTTCTTTGTCTAAATCTCTGTCTGTCTGCCTGCCCCCCTCCTCTCTCTCTCGCTCTCTCTCTCTCTCTTACCTAACCAACAGAATTTTTAGTCGGAGTGTTTACAGAAAAGGAAATAGAGTAGAAGAATGAAGAAAAAGAAGAAACAACAAGAGAAGAATGACAATAGATTTCGTATTCACGTGAACAATCAATTTTCTCTCTCTCTCTCTTTCTCTCTCTCTCTCTCTCTCTCTCTCTCTCTCTCTCTCTCTCTCTCTCTCTCTCTCTCTCTCTTCCCTTGACGTAGATATTGAAAGCCTCAGCAGAGTGATTGCAAGCGATGAAAGTCCGGAGTGATATTCAGACCTTAGTCAAAATACAAAAGCCAATTTACACAACCAACTTTTCATGCTTGATTTCCCGGCCAGTGCTTGGAGGCTTGAAGTGCAAGCAAGCAGCCGGAACTATAAGTAAACTAGCAGAAATCTGGACAAAGAGAGAGCCCGAGGGAATCTAAGACGTTATATCTTGCTTTAGAATCCGAAATTTATTGTTACTTTCACAAACTCCTTCGTCGCTACTGCAGTTTCCTCGGTCAAGGTGTCGTGCGGAAAATTATTTTTGCGTTTGTTCGCTTCCTTTTCGTGTTTGGAGATTATTGATATTGTTACTTGTGTTTGTTTGTTATTTCGTTTCGTTGCCAAAAGATGAGTTCTTTTTAGATAGATGGAGATGTTTACATATTTCCTTCATGTCTTTTCTTCTTATTTTGTAATTTCTTCAAGGCTCTCTCAGTCTCTTTCTCTCTCTCTCTCTCTCTTTCTCTCCCCCCCCCCTCTCTCTCTCTCTCTTTCTCTCCCTCTCTCTATCTCTCTCTTCTCCCCCCCCTCTCTCCTTTTTCTATATCTTCTTTTTTTCTATCTCTCTCTCCTTTCTCCCTTTTCTCCCTCTCCCAGGGGCTAACGGCCTCGAAGCGGACTCCCCCCCTCCTCCCCCCCAGCACAAGAGCCTCGTCCCATGAAACCTCGAAGGGGAAAAAATGCCAATGCTTCATACACGCAGCTTGCATCGAGGAAGTTGCATGCAGGACGACCATTTATTCGGGTTGGCGAGAAAATACCCGGCGTTCGGATCAGTGACCGACAGCCACCAGTGCCTTCGATGATTTCAGGTCGTGTGCCTTTTTTTTGCGCTTGCCGTTTTTCGTTGTCTTTTTTTTTTTTTTTTTTTTTTTTTTTTTTGGGGGGGGGGGTTCTGTTTCTTCTTTTTGGTGTTTTTTCTTTCTTCTTCTTTTGTTTCTTCTTTTTGGTGTTTTCTTCTTCTTCTGTTTCTTCTTTTTCTTTTCTTTTTTTTCTTCCTTCGTTATATTGTTTGAATCTCTTTTTTTTATTCACTTTCCTCCTCGTCCTCTTCTTCTTCTTCTTCTTCTTCTTCTTCTTCTTCCTCCTGTTCTTCCTCTTCTTCTACATTCTAATATTTTTCACCATTTTCCCCCAATCTCTCTCTTTTTCTTTTTCAATCTTTCTACTAATCTCCTTACTCTTCCCTCCCCCTTTCTCTCCCCTCTTCTTTTCTTCCTCTCCTCCTCTTCTTTTCAATCTCCTTACTCTCCTCCCCTTTTCTCTCCCCTCTTCTTTTCTTCCTCCCCCCTTTTTTCGCAAAACCCGTATCAGTAATGACGATAAAAGCCTCAAGACTTTCATTCCCATTCTCTCGCATTAATGGAGTTAATAGCCAGAACCCCGAGTCTTTTAAAATGACCAATTAATCTGTGTTGTTAGATTTGTCACTCGGTTTTATGTTTAACAACCTTGGAAATTCACTCTTTGGGGGTTGTGGGGGGGGGGGGGAGGGGGAGGAGGAGGAGGAGGAGGAGGAGGAGGAGGTGGGAGGAGGGAGGGAAAAGATGTCTTATGGACGAGGGTAGTAAGGTTCATGTTTCTGGTTCGTAAAAGTGCATAGAAAGGGGGGGAGGGGTTGGGGGAGGTGATGTGGAGGAGAAATCAGAGGGGGGGGTGAGGGGGGTTGGGAGTGGGTAGGGAGTTGGGGGAGGGTAAAAGGTGGGTTTGTGGGGGGGGGGGGAGAGGGAGAGAGGGATGGAGGGAGGGGGGAAGGGAGGGAAATAGAAGGATAGAGGATAGGGTGTGGTGAGGGGGAGGGGGGGTAGATAGGTGTATGGGAGAGAGAGAGGGAGAAGGATGATACATGAGGCAACAAAAAGGGGGGGGGGGGGCAGCGAGAGGGGCCGTTTCTATGACAACCAAACGTTTCTCCCTAAAAAAAGTGTGAATAAGTGTGACTGTAATTTTCCAAGTAGGTGGGGGTAAAAGGCAGAAAGAGTACACACTTTTTATAATTACTGTTATACAAATGACTCACGAAATCGCTTATTCTCTCTATGGACACGCGGATATACCCATAACCCCCCCCCCCCCACACACAAAAAAACAGTTCTTATAGGGGATACGAACACATTCTTTTTTTAGTTTTTTTTTTAGATTATTAAAAAATGAAGGTCAACCACATCTTTTTTAGTTTTTTTTTTAGTATTAGTCAAAGTTGAAGGTTTGCGGGGCCTCACGATGGCAAAAGGGGGGGCGGGGGATACAAAATACATTTTTTTTATAGTTTTTTCTTTATCGTTAGTCAAAAAGGAAGGTCTGTTGGGAACTCAAAATGGCAGCTGGAGTGGTAGCTAAAGATAGATAGATAGATAGATAGATAGATAGATAGATAGATAGATAGATAGATAGATAGATAGATAGATAGCTGAAGTGGTAGTAAAAGTGGTAGCTGAAGATAGATAGATAGATGGATGGATAGATAGAGAGCTGGAGTGGTAGCTGAAGATAGATAGATAGTTAGATAGATAGATAGATATATAGATAGATAGATAGATAGATATATAGATAGATAGATAGATAGCTAAAGTGGTAGCTGAAGATAGACAGATAGTTAGATAGATAGATAGATAGACAGACAGACAGATAGATAGATAGCAGAAGTGGTAGCTGAAGATAGAAAGATAGATAGATAGATAAATAGAGAGAAAGATAGCTGAAGTGGTAGCTGAAGATAGACAGACAGACAGATAAATAGACAGATAGATAGACAGATAGATAGAAAGATAGATAGCTGAAGTGGTAGCTGAAGATAGACAGATAGATAGATAGATAGATAGCTGAAGTGGTAGTAGAAGTGGTAGCTGAAGAAAGATAGATAGATCGATAGATAGATAGATAGACAGCCGAAGTGGTGGCAGGGTGGTAGCCTGAGCATGGTCGTTTGGCACGGAATGGTTGGCTTGCAAGAGGATGACTGGCACGGGGGGCGGGGTTGCCAAGTCTGACTTGCAGGCGATTGCAGGATCCGAGTGTCATGACATATGCCGTTTCGCAGTCATGCACTCTGACGCCAAACAGATGTGTCACGAGCTAGTCAGGCTTCATTTTTATGGTTATTTCTCATCTGTCTTTCTTTCTCTCTCTCTCTCTCTCTCACTCTTTCGCTCTCTCTTTCGATTTTATTATCTCTCTCTCTCTCTCTTTCGATTTTTTTTCTCTCTCTCTCTCTTTCGATTTTATTACCTTTCTCTCCCTCTCTCTCTCTCTCTCTCTCTCTCTCTCTCTCTCTCTCTCTCTCTCTCTCTCTCCCTCTCTCTCTCTCTCCCTCCCTCCCTCCCTCTCTCTCTCTCTCTTTCATTCTCTTTCTTCTGTCTCACTCTTTCTCTCTTTCGATTATTATTTTATATATATATATATATATTTTCCAAATGCTTCAAGAGATCATTATGGACGCCTCTACCACGTGCCACTCACCCCCCACCCCCACCCCTCCACGCCCACGCACGCCCGAACGCATATCCGGATCAGCCGCGCCGGAGATAATCGTCGTCTTTGTTTGTTATTCCGTTTCCTTTTTTTATTCATTTATTCTTTAGATCTCTAATTCTTCGGGTTTCTGTTTGTTTATTCATTCGTTCTGGGTATTTTTTGGTCATTTTTGAGAGAGTGAAAGAGGAAGAGAAAGAGAAAGAGAGAGAGAGAGAGAAAGAGAGAGAGAGAGAGAGAAAGAGAGAGAGAGAGAGAGAGAGAGAGAGAGAGAGAGAGAGAGAGAGAGAGAGAGAGAGAGAGAGAGAGAGAGAGAGAGAGAGAGAGAGAGAGAGAGAGAGAGAGAGAGAGAGAGAGAGAGAGAGAGAGAGAGAGAGAGAGAGAGAGAGAGAGAGAGAGAGAGAGAGAGAGAGAGAAGAACAAGAGAAATAGAGAGAGAGAGAGAGAGAGAGAGAGAGAGGAGAGAGAGAGAGAGAGAGAGAGAGAGAGAGAGAGAGAGAGAGAGAGAGAGAGAGAAAGCGAGCAAGCAAGAGAGAGAGAGAGAGAGAGAGAGAGAAAGCGAGCAAGCAAGAGAAAGAGAGAGACAAAGAAACAAAGAGAAATAGAGAGAGGATATAAGATTACCAATTAATAACCAAGACGCTAATTTTTTTCATTTCCAAAGGCACGACAAACACTTTGAATAAACGAAAGAGGAATGAAGGAAACGTTGATAACAAGATTTAATATATTTAAAATGAAATAAGTCATTACTCATGCTGCTTTATTACCATCAGCTGGTCAAGGCGTTTCATTAAAGGGCGTTATTCAATCCCGTTTTGTCTGTCTGTCTGTTTAACTGTTTGTCTATCTCTATCTTTGTCTCTGTCTCTGGCTCTGTCTTTCTCTCTCTCTCTCTCTCCGTTTCAAAGACGATACTTACAGATACTTAAATTGTAGTCGATATTATGGCTCTTTTTTCTTCTTACACACACACACACACACACACACACACACACACACACACACACACACACACACACACACACACACACACACACACACACACACACACACACATATATACATTATGTTTATACACAAGGGCACAGTGAGTGCTCACAGACAAAACCCAGAAAGAGAACTGCTTACTTAGCCCCTCTTTTCTAACTAACGTCCACCTTCACAATGGCCTCAGCGCGCAGGCAAGACAAACAACCGAAACCAAACCCTTCAAAAAAGAGATAAAACCTTCCCCACACAAACAAACAAACCATCTCCGCCGACACAAACAAACACACACACAGACACCTTACTACCGACCGCAAAGACGACGTCGAAAGTGAAACGAAAGAAGAGGGGAGGGGAAAAAAGAAAGGAGGAGGAGGAGGAGGAGGAGGAGGAGGAGGAGGAGAAGAAGAAGAAGCCAGCTGGAGACGCCCAACAGCCCTTGAAGACGGCCGACCGCAGGAGACCTTAACCAAGTTGAAATAATGGCCTCAAGACCGCTAGGACACGCTGGCCAATCCTTCGAATTCTTGGTATTTAGCTGTCTCATTGCCCGCGCGTGAGTGTGTGCGAGTCTTGTGTTTGTGAAGGAAGCGGAAAGTCGCCTTTTCTTTCCTCGGGGAGCTGTTCATTTCGACGGAATTCCAAGTTTCTTTTGCCGTCTTTCTT